GCCCTTTGTGAAATTCAAATTTGAGGGTTTTTGGGATGTACCCGGTTTGAGGATTCCCTATACAATCCAAGGAAGGGGCCTTTCAAGGGGGTAACCAGAAAATGTGAAAGATTCTGATCCGATCCTTTTTATAGGCGGAATGCCAATTCGATCAAACACCGTCCATAAATGAATCAAGCTAAGCAATTTAGTGGAGGATTTGGTAGGTACATTTTTACTTTAGATTTAAAAACCCTGACAGGGTAGCAACCATTTGTCATATTTAGATGATGTCCCAATGGGCTGGGAATCAGGATTCAGGACCCAGATGATCAATTGATATAGAGGAAATGTTTCTTGAACACTGATGTTTTTGGGTCATCTTTTGTTTTCAAAAGGTCATTTAGTCATTACTTACATCTATCTTAGAAAGCATATAATTTTATAAAGTCTATGTATATTTAAATGCCGGGACAATATTCATTCTTATTGTTACATTCCATTCCCAATCTTTAATAAATTGGATGAAGTATTGTTTATAATTGATTGATGCAAAACTTGGGACTTAGTCCTATAATAATTCTGATGCTTTTTGGCAATCTCCGAGGACGATCAAATCGATATTACCTATTGTATCTATAACACTTTTCGATGGCATTTCTTTATTCATATATATCACAATACCTTTCGAATCTCTTACCTTCTGTGCAAACTGTTTACAAAGTGACTTGACACCAGGGATTGTCAAACTTGTACCAGCAATGATTAAACAATCAGGCTTTTTCCTAATATCTAAATTGGCTATCTCTCCTATCAGATCACCTTCTGGATGAACTTCATTATATAAAACAACTCTAGGCCTTAATCTACCAACACCCTTTGACCTTAGCCCAGCTACCAATCTTACAGATTCGAATTCAAGACACTGCTTACATGAAGGCACAATTTGAGTTGTCTCATCAACATCGCCCTCCGATGATTGGAACAAGGAAGTGTCTATCTCTTCTATTTTAGAGCACTTGTTGCACTCCATATAATGAATACTCCCATGCAGTTGAATGGTTTTTGGTGCTGGTTTAGCCAAAGGAGTTTTAGTTGATAAATGTGGCAACCTTACATCCAAACCATCTATATTTTGAGTGTACAAGCGTTGTAACCTACCATCTAATGCAATCGAGTTAATCAATTCATGAAATGCAGTGGGCTCGGTACTTGACGACATTTTATGTAATTTTTTAATCATTTCATTAAACTTGATACTCATATTATCACTTGAGTAAACTCTATTATAATCAAACAATTCTTTACCAGAAGAGACATTTTTTGTAGTTTTTAAAGAAGTGAATAAACCTTGTGAAGATCTAAAATCCGGAATCCCTGCAGCTACAGAGACCCCAGCTCCAGTACCCACAATGACACGTCTACTATGTTTTAGAGCATACGACAAAAACTCTATATTCTTGACATCTTCCCCAGTTGGATGATCTAATTTTGTATCATCAATATTTAAAAGTGTGAATGGAGCAGGTCTAAATTTCAACCTAGGTTTCCTAGTATTTTTCTTTAACTGCGTTAGCAATTGTTTTGGGACAATCTTAACACCATCATCAACAAATTTTCCAACAGGAGAACCTTTCTTCATGGAAGAAGGAGGAGTCAAAGGAAGTTCCCTTGATACTTTTCCTTTAGCCATCATATTTAGACTACCTATTTCTTTAACCGTTCTACAAATTATCACAGCCCTTTATTCTCCAAATCTAACTACACATATAGCAACCTAAATCACTTAAGTACCTTAACCGACTATATTGATCTTCAAAATCCTACTTCAACAACCTTTATACCTTGCGATGAGGTTCATCATTCTACCACTTTAAAGTAAAAAGATTGAAGTTATGGCTTTAAGTACCAGTAAATTTAAATTTTGATATACTTCAAGCTGATGCGAATTGCCCGATTAGGAAAAATAATGAATTTAACATTAAGTTACGTATTATATATACCAAGCAAAAGAAATAGAAACTGATATCTGGCGTAATACACTTCCAAATCAAACCAAATTAAAACCAACTACTACAGTAGAGAACTATCCAAAAGTATAAAATATATTCTTTATGTTCCAATGTTTTTTATATAATTAAAATAATGGTGTAATTATAATCTAAGGTTCATCTCATCTCAAGAAATGAGATGTCCACTGGCAATAGAAATTTACAACAGACAACTACTTTTATGAATAGTTACCCTGACAACAAATTCGTATTGTATGATATATCTATGGTACATAACGTGAATTTAATGTCAGTAAAAGGTGGGATGTATCCAACAATTGGCGTATTTAATAATGTAATTTGTGGAATAACTGAGTACAATTTCCCCAAAATTATATACCAATTCACTGTAAAGTATAACAAATCTTCTTTCTGTTAATACAGATATGTTTTTATAATCTGTTATCTTGCTATGCCATACATATTTCATGGCTTTAACTGTTCTATATATGTATTCTGCGTATATTTTTAAAATCTTTACGTTAAAGGAGGGTAACCTTTCATTTATGGTAAAATTGGAAAATATGCGATGAACATTTAAGAATCAAACCCATCTCTAGATAACCAAAACCTGATTTAAAGTCTCTTTATTTGGGATTGAATAAGCAGATTACAGGACTGTTGTAGCAATTGAAGTAGGTTTCAAGGAATCTGTTGGCATTTTTCAAGAGTTTTGGGAGATTTCAAGGAATATATTTTTCATTAAGAAATTATGGTTACCATCAGTGAAGTAAAAGACGTTCAAAACGGTTCTGGTTCTGGTTCTAATCGTACTGCAGCCCATACTCATATCAAAGGGTTAGGTTTAGATGATGCTGGTGTTGCTAGAAGTGTAGAAGGTGGGTTTGTAGGCCAGGTAGAGGCTCGTGAAGCTTGTGGTGTTATTGTAGATTTGATTAAAGCCAAGAAAATGTCAGGTAGAGCTATCTTATTAGCTGGTGGTCCTTCTACCGGTAAGACTGCTTTGGCTTTAGCAATTTCTCAGGAATTGGGTCCAAAGGTTCCATTCTGTCCATTAGTAGGTAGTGAATTGTATTCGGTTGAAGTTAAGAAAACTGAAACTCTAATGGAAAATTTTAGAAGAGCTATCGGTTTGAGAATTAAGGAAACTAAAGAAGTTTATGAAGGTGAAGTAACAGAGTTGACTCCGGAAGATGCAGAAAACCCATTAGGAGGTTATGGTAAGACTATCTCTCATGTTGTTGTTGGTTTGAAGTCTGCTAAAGGTACAAAGACTTTAAGATTAGATCCTACTATTTACGAAAGTATTCAACGTGAGAAAGTTAGTGTCGGTGATGTCATTTATATCGAAGCTAATACCGGTGCTGTCAAGAGAGTAGGGAGATCAGATGCATATGCTACTGAATTTGATTTGGAAACCGAAGAATACGTTCCTTTACCAAAGGGTGAAGTTCATAAGAAGAAAGATATAGTCCAAGATGTTACTTTACATGATTTGGATATTGCTAATGCAAGACCACAAGGTGGCCAAGATGTTATCTCCATGATGGGTCAATTGATGAAACCAAAAAAGACAGAAATAACTGAAAAGTTAAGACAAGAAGTTAATAAAGTCGTTGCTAAATATATCGATCAAGGTGTAGCAGAATTAGTTCCAGGTGTTTTATTCATTGATGAAGTCAACATGCTAGATATCGAAATTTTCACTTACTTAAACAAAGCTTTGGAATCAGAAATCGCCCCAATTGTTGTATTGGCATCTAACAGAGGTATGACTACCGTTCGTGGTACTGATGATATTGTTTCTCCACACGGTATTCCACCAGATTTGATTGATAGATTATTGATTGTCCGCACATTGCCTTATAATAAAGATGAGATACGCACCATTATTGAAAGAAGAGCAACTGTAGAAAACTTAAAGCTTGAAGGTTCAGCATTACAATTATTAGCAGATTTAGGTGTAGACACATCCTTACGTTATGTATTACAATTATTAGCTCCTTCTGGTATACTTGCACAAACAGCAAACCGTGACGAAATAATTGTTAGTGATGTTGAAGAAGCTAAAATGCTATTCTTAGATGCTAAGAGATCTACAAAAATTTTAGAAACATCAGCAAACTACTTAAGCTAAATTCATATGTAAATTATAAGTATTTCATGTAAAATTATCATTTAAAATAACAAATCAGGACAATCTCAGAAGTTATTTCATATCGAAGCAAAAGTTATCATTGATTTCTACGTGAAAGAAAAATAGATTTATAAACTTGATTAGATTCTAGTTACTTTTAATTTTCCATTATTCAATATATATTATTACTATTATTATTCATTTAATATTTATTACCTAGTTCATTGATCCCAAAGTAGTAATTTCATTAATAAATTCCTTTGGTGTTTCAATAGCTGTACTACCATACATAACTTTCTTTGGGTTATGAATTTCAGAATGAGCCCATTCTTGTAAATTTTGATATTCTAAATAGTTACCACCACCAACAACAAATACAATAGATTTATTATAAGATTGTCTCTTAGGTTTCTTTGTGTGAGAGCCTCTAGTAGAACGAGGATCAAAATATAAGTAACCATCAGTAGTTTCTGTATTCTTTTGGGAACTATTCAATGGATCCATTATAGCTTCAACAACATTAGTAATTGGGATTGTTTTCTTTTCTGGCAACAATTTCTTAATACCTGAAATTAAACTACCAACACCACCTTGTAATCTACCTTCAGTTAAACTGTATAATCCAGATAGGGTTGAGCCCTTACCAGTTGATGCTTTGCTTGAGCCATCTTCTAACGATTTATTCTGTAATGTCATGTTCGACAACTGCATAAATTCTCTTAATTTATAAACGTATTTTAGACCATTAATATCAAAGTTATTATTTTGGAAGTATTTTTCAACATCGTTAATGAAGTCTTTTGGCAAACCATCAGTCGAGGTTAAGTATAAAACCATGAATGTTCTTAATTTATCTTCCAAATTAGTAGTGTTGCCGTCCTTTAAAATTTCCAAGAATCTAGCTCTAGTCTTGGCGTTATCAGGAGATTGTTCAACTTCAAAGAAGGAATCCAAACCTTTAGTTTCTAATTGTGACAAAAGAGAAGCGAAAATATTCATGTGTGTATCAATGACAGCTTTTCTAGAGGTCAATTCAGGCAATTTTTTTACAGCCTCTTGGATTTGGACGGTATCATTACTTGAATTTGGATCTAAATCAGTTAAATTAGAGACACCGGTTTTCTTAGTTATTTCTGCAGCGTCTTCTTTATATTTTGTTAAGGCAATTTCTACATTTTCAGCAGCTTCAGGAAATGGTAGATGAGAATTTTGATTCCAAAAGAAATCGTTTGGATCTAAATCGTACTTTTTATAAGTAATATTTTCAGTTTTATCATCTTTAACTGGGATCGAGATAATATTCTTTGCTAAATTGAAAACGTCGAAAACCATACATTGATAAATCCAAGAGTGCCCCAGCATACAAGAGAAATCGATATTTCTATCTAGAATGATCAATACACATCTCTCTAATGAATCAGCATCTGTCAGACCAGAAGATCTTGTATTTATGACATAATCACGTAACTTAGCACCTAGCTTTTCAGATATGATTTCAGCAGGGCCACCAATTGGAGATCTAATGATTGGTATGGTATTAGTAGTGATCACAGTATTGTACAAACCTGTTGCGATCTGTTCACAAAGTGTATTAATGATTTCCTCAGTAGTTGATGGGTTATTTAAAATCGAGTAAGTATTTGATATTTCCAGAGAGAATAATTCTGGTTCTGTGACTACGAAATCCAAATATTGATCATAAACCTGTTTGATTCTATCTGATTTTCCTATTTGAGTGACTTGTTTAGCTAAATCTTCTAATAAATCTCTTGGTAAGTTTGAACTAAAATTTAAATGGTAATCAGAGTATCTATCAGATTTTAAATCTTCAACAATGAAATCTATATTCTCCTTAGTTGGGGAGACAAAATAAACAGCAGGGACATCAGACAAAGCAGATCTACTTTGATTGATCAAATAATGAACAGTAATACCACATTTCAATAAATCATTGACACGTAAAATTGAAGATATAATATCAGTAGTTTTTTTATCCAAAATTAAAACTTTCCAATTCAATTCATTTTCATTAAAGGAATTCTCCAAATCAATACTATCTAACAAATTGGCACCATTAGCACCATTGCCAATGTCATTCTCAATGTTCACTTTGTTTAAAAACAACATTTTAACAATTGACCTAATTTGTAGGTCTCTTAAACTCGTTTCATCCCTATTGATTAAATTATCCGTCATTCTGGAGAGAATATCAAACACTAGATAAACAACAAAATACGTTCAACAACCCTTGTAGCCACTGCAATCGACCAAGGACTCTCTTGATAACACTTTAACCTTTTATAAGTAATGTTCTTCTTGTATGTTCTTATACTGATTTGTTTGTTGTGCTGGTTGATAATTTTTCAGTTCAAAACCTGAAAAATTAATATCACAGCCATAATAATACGTAGCCAAAGTATGTATTTAAAGAGTGATAGAGACAAGACAAGGGAAGGAAACGAAGACTACATGTTGGATACAAGACTGATGGATGGGGTTTGTTCGTTGCCATCACCAGATTTTTTGTTTGTTTGTTCATTTGGTCTCTTTACGATTCAATTACGTAACATAGCTTTTTTCAATTGCAATGTCATTTCCAAGAAACAGGTACGATCCAAAAGATTCAACGAGAGTTTTATTCAACCCATTCCATTGCATTCCAACAAACCAATCCAAACCAGGAGTTTTAATTCCCGACCTTGCTTGTTCGTTTATATCAAAGAAATGTCTTGTGTTGCCTTGCCTTGTCTTGTCTTGTCTTATCCTGTCCTGTCCTAATCCATAACTTAGAGATGCTTTAATTCTCTCTGTATTGTTGGGATTAGACTGTAATCAACAGAAACAACTTGCAATTGAATTGAATTGAATTGAATTGAATTGAATTGAATTGAATTGATTTTAATCGAATTGACGGTACGTTGTGTTGTAGTCGCATCGTCGGTTGGCTTCTGTCTGTTGGTTGTTGGTTGTTGACTGGCTGGCTCGCTGTGGTCCCATATCCAACAATACGTCATTAGTGCTACTTTTGGTATTACCATACATATTTCACTCACGTGACCACTTATATACATACATACATTATTTTTTCCCTCTGGTCCTCCTAACAAAAAATCTCATTCTATCGCAAATGGCTTTAATTATTCATCCCCGTCTAGACTCATCAAATTTTTATCCATCATCTTCAACTGATCATATAAGTTTGATTCAAACCTTTTGATCTATATAGAAGGTTGGCTTGTTAGTATTGGGATTCACATTCAACAGTTCTACATATGCTTGGCAATCCCTTTTTTGTTATAAATACAAGGTTTGCTTTAACGTTACAAGCAAGAAAAAAGTGACACCCAACAATACTAAACTACATTTATTACAATAAAATATATATTTAAAAAGGCTCAAGGATATGAAGGCTAACTGCATAATACTATATTGAAATAGCAATGATTAATGATAATTTAGAGAGCACTAATCATGGGACTAGACCCAAAGTTAGTGTGAAGACTCATGAGTCGCTTTTCCTTTTAAACTATTCTGATATACCAAAATTTAATGATCAAAGTTCTAATTTGACCATCAAACAGTTTAATATTTATGTCTACATCGATATCCCAACTATTGATTACTATAACGACCAATTAGTCCATAATAAACTTTGGAAGTTTAACAAAAAGTTTAAATTAAGTAAGATTAAGAATCTCTTATTTGACTCATTTGTTAATGAAAATGATAATATTTGGAATACTTTGGTCGATAATAATACACAAATAAATATTTCAATATCTTCTTCAGGTTCAATAAGATATGTGGAAACTATAAAATTTCTAATAGAGAATACTTATACAAAAATTTTCAAATTGAATCCAAATTTTAATTTCAATGATAATTTAAATTTCGATATAGAGGTATCCCCAATTTCAAAAAAATGGTTTAATTCTTTCCTAGACAAGCATCTGATTAACCAGAATTTAATTAAGTTCATAGATATCATAAATTATCAAAATGTTACAAGGACAAATCCAACTAATCCCTTTAAAGAATACTTTTCAAAACTGAATTTTAAATTTATAACTAATGGAAATGATAAATCTACCTTTGACACTATAAGTGTAGTGACAAATAGCACTGGCGTAAAAGCTTTATTGACTATTCTATCGGATAGACCGATCTTTAGTTACATATCAGAAGAATCAGTAGATTTATTGAAAAGTTTACAATATACAGATACTAATTCAGGCACTACTTATCGAAGAAGAAGTGATTCTTTAGATAGTTGTGGTAGTAGTGAAGATGATACCTCTTTGAAAAGAGAATCCTCATCAATTATGTCATTCCAAAATAATCTACTCACTTCAAATAAAGACAGATCAGTAAGGATTAGGTCATTATCAATCAACAGAAATATCGGCAAATCTCAGGTTTTCAACTTCAATGATATGACAGTTCTTCCAAATCATAGATCTGAACTGAATGATATAGAATATAATACCAATAATACAGATTCACAAAGCATTAACTCAATGAAGGCTGTTGCATTCCCTGAGAAATTTCAAGTGGGGGGTGATTCTTCTGAGACTGAATTTGACAATGATCTCGATGATGATGACGACGATGAAGAAGACGAAGAAGATGACGAAACCTTAGATAATGAACAAGGTCTGACTCTTAATGTCCCTTCGAAGTTATCTAGGGCTAGCTCACATGTCGACGTCACTAACATGCGGCCTACTAATCCAGTATCAACTACCAAAAAAAACAGATTCAGATCTCTTAGTTTAATGGATCCCCCATACAAGGTCCCATTTGTTCAAACAATCAAAAACAATACCAATAATATCAACCTTTCAAATTCACAAATCATCACACAACCTCAGCCTCAAAGATTGGACCAACTAGCTTGTCCTAGCATTTTGACAGAGAATAAAGATGATGACGAGGATGATGAAGACGAAATATATAACATTACTGATAATGAAGAAACCAAGAGAGTAACAAATATCTACATCCATGACGGTGAATTCGAAGATGTTATGCTACAAGCATCATCTCCTTATGCCAGAAGGAATAAAAAGAGAAGTGCTATATCTAATAGTGTCTCTGTAGATTCATCTGCTGGTAACAATTTAATTCCGCCAGAATTTTATTCAAGGATTTCATCTCCTTCATTAAGTGCGAATAGCTCTAACACATCAATTCACAATATGCAATACGCTACAATGAGTAAATTAGACGATAGTTCTTCACAGAGTAAATTATTCGAAAAAAATTTGATAACCAAATCATTTGAGGAACTTAGAAAACAACCATCGATGAATAGTCTTTTCTCGACTTTGATCGGTGGTTATAACAATGACATAGCAAACCCTCTAGCTTTGAACTTTAGATCAAAAACCAGAGAAAGAAACGCAACTCCGCTATTGTCTTATAAGGGCACTCAAATGAGCAGCCCAATATATGACGAAGAGGACTTAATGATGTCAGGTTTCGATGAACAAAATCCTTTACATGAACAATATACTTTGGACTTAACAGATTGCTATCATAGTAATAGTGATGAACAAGATGAATACGGGACTACAGATATTGAGACACTAACCAGTAAGCGGAATTCTGTCATGAGGCTTACTGATGATCTATCCAATACCACGCATATTTTGGAGCAAGATGAGAATAATGGGGATAGCCATAGTGACAAATCTACAAAAAATAATCAATTTGATTTGAACCTAAATTTAAATTTCAAATTAGATGTATATGACAAAAAACAAAACGAAAGCATAGATCCAAACAAGGACAAACCAAGGGATAGCGATTCCCAACCAGAAATTAAGCATAAAAAGGCATTTACAATCGATCTTTACGGCGATGATGATATCGATAATTCTTATGCATGGGTATTAGGTGGTAATATATAATTTTATAATTTTTTTAATTAATTAATTTTTAATGGTCATAATTTTTTTTTCAATAGTTTTCAATGCATTAAATCTATATCTGAACTACACGTTCTTAAGGGTTCTTGTTTGAAAATCACTGTCATCTTAAATAACAGTTTAAAGAATAATTATTAATACAAAAATTCATTAAAAGGAAATAGATAATATTATGTTATATATATTTATAAACTTTTAATTTATTTAAGCCTTCATCTTGTAGACGGAGTGACACTTACCACAGTAGTATCTGTCCTTGTGGTTAGCTAAGAAGATACCGGCACCACAGGTAGAGTTGGAACATTCCTTTCTCAACTTGGTAACCTTACCTTCGTCATCGACCTTGAAGTAAGACAAGATAGCTAACTTAACCTTCTTGTTCTTGTGCTTGATCTTCTTTGGAGTGGTGTAAACCTTCTTCTTTCTCTTCTTACCACCACCTCTCAATCTCAAGACTAAGTGTAAAGTGGATTCCTTTTGGATGTTGTAGTCAGACAAAGTTCTACCATCTTCCAATTGCTTACCAGCAAAGATCAATCTTTGTTGGTCAGGTGGGATACCTTCTTTGTCTTGAATCTTAGCCTTGACATTGTCAATGGTGTCAGAAGATTCAACTTCCAAAGTAATTGTCTTACCAGTTAAAGTCTTGACAAAAATTTGCATTTTTGAATTCCTGGTCTTTTTGTAATTGACAGAACCAATCTAAAAAAACTTGATTTCTTTTTTAAATATACTTTAAACTGTGCTTTCAAATATACAAAACATCCCCTTCGTTACAATCAATATTATCATCATTACTATGTCTAGCTCATCTCATCTCATCTCATCTCATCTCATCTAATCACATCTCAGGTTTAGTTTTGAAACTTAATAGTGAAAAATTTTCGATTCAATGATTCCTGTTTGGTCTCGATGGAAATCGGTAATAATTCTTCTTAAAGCAGGTATTGATGGCTTAAGAAACATACGTAGAAATAAACACGGTCGTTCGCTTCGCTGAGAGTCCATCATTTGAATGTACGGGTGTAGAGGGCGGAGGAAACAGTCACTCAAAGTCACGTGGGATGAATTGTTTTACTGTTGCCTAAATATTTGGCCTCTATTCCTTCAAACTAATGAGCTGGTGCTGGCATTCTAAGAGTTGTTAATTAAATTGATAGGAACCGACTTAGAATTAGGTGAAATATTGACATGGTTTTAGTCATTTGATTTAGTTAGTTTTGAATGGGTATTATTGCGCAATCGAAAATATGGGATTTTCAAATAGTTTTTATACTATATTTGAAAAGTCATCAATCAATTGATGAGAGCTTGAACGGCAAAAAATAAAAAATAAAAAGGAAAATGAAAGTAGTTTCTATTTCTTGAAATTTGTTGATATGCATGGAGTAGGATGACCTGAAAGATCAATAATGAATCAGACTGTACTATAATAAAATGTGAATATAGATAAAATTGACAGTGTCATGATTATTGCATGGATCAAAAAGCCCAGAATTGATGAATTTTCATTAACGTAATATGCAGATGTTACTAGCCATGAAGAGGGATCTAATGATGTACTGACTGGTAAGGGAAGAGCAACATATGGCTTCTTGAACTTCTTTTCCATTTGCAACACAACTTTCTTATTGAACATTGCAGGGAAAAAATAAATTGATATTGATAATATAACAGTAATGATTAAAGTAAAAACATAAGCTTTCATAGCCTTGTATGGATCTGGCATATAACAAATATTCGTTTGATATGTTTTTGCAGTTGCAGTATCTACTGCTCCTTTTGCTGGAGAAGGATTATGCAACGATAGCAATTGAATTGCTGGTCTGCTAATACCCATATTCATTGCACATGATTTCACTGTAATTTCTTCTGCCACTTTAGACTCACCATTAGCCAAATACGAATGTGTAATATGACAGTAATCATGATCATCACCTGAAAATAATATAGAAGGTTGAACTTTAGTCAAAACTTCTTGTGATATTTCTTGGTCTATAACAGTTTGGTATTGGATACCTTTCATCAATGGAAAAGGTTTATTGGATTCCCTTAATGAGCCACATTTCTGTTGCTCAGGATTTCTATAAAGGGGGACATGCGATAATAATATCCTTGGATATTCGTGTTCGACACTAGCAAAATCTTCCAAAAATTGTTTTGGTACATTTGAAATATTGACATTTTGTTTATCAGATAATGAAATAGTGTCAAGTAATACAAATGTATGATTGCCAGCATTCAAATAATTAGATGTTTCTCCAAAATATGTGGAAAATCTTTTTAAACTGGATTCAATTATAGTATCCCCGAACCCAATATCGTGATTACCAGGTAATGACATTACCGTTCTTCTCATTGGTTTTTTAGGGAATATACTATTGAATCTAATATATTCTTTATGCCAATAGTCATCATCCCAGTATCTACCCCCATCAAATAAGTCACCCAAGAAGAAATTTGTATCAGGATCCAAATGATATTGTACAAACTTCCAATCTCTCTTATGATAATTATCAAGGATTAATCTGGTAACATGATTTACAATTGCTGGTCTGCCAGGGTAAGAATGATTATCCATAATCTGAGGGTCAGCGAACAATGCAACTCTATGACGCTCATCACCTTCAGACCATTGTTCCCATTTCTTCCACTGACAAACATTCATTGATCTTTTAACCACCACCCTTTCATAATAATGCACTACAAAAACCCATAACAATGAAAGCAAAACAATGTACCTCCAATATATCGGTACTTTCGAACCTTGAAATCTAAAAGAACTATGTCTCAACTCAGAAGATGAATCATACTTCTCTTCATTATCGCCATCTTGTATTTCACCATTTGAACCTTCAGCCTTTGCCAAGAAGTTCTTCGAACGAGTTCTATATGACATTTTCCATCAACAAAAGTTTTAAAAGCTTCTCACAAAAACAAACCAATTCAAAAAAGATAAGATCAATAATCAACAAGTACTTGATAGTACCATACAGTCACTAATCACTCCTAACCTTTATAACGTCGAATATAATACAAAAATATTGAATTTGCTGTTATTTTTAATTGATACTAATTTTTACATCAATTTTAACTTTTACCTCTTTTCTGAAATAAAATCTTCAAATTTAAAGTTAAAATGACGTAATAACAAACTAACAACCGGATAACGTACGACAAAATTTATCGTTTACATGGTAACTCCGGTAACGTTAAAGGTACAGTAAATTATCTGTTTGTATATTGTAATTATTCAATCAATAAATGTTTACTTTAGCCAATTTTTCGTTAACAATCGATCATAATTATTATTATTATTATTATGATGATGATAATGGGTAATGATGCTATTGTATAAATATGCTATTATGCTATATATAAATATTTGAATTCGAGATCAATGGTTAGTTCGAAAATTTTAACAATGACGTACTGTTGCTTGCTTTATAATTTGAGAAGGAAGTACCGACGTCTTAACTGTTATTGACTTGGTAATTTATGTTACTTCAATGAACAAAATCTTTGACGTTGAAGAAATATTTTTATGCTTCATCTTCAATAATCTTTAAATATTTTGTGTAGAACGTTTTCTTATTGGCACTAATTAAAGCTTTCTTGATTATTGATACATATTCTTTGGTGTTTTCTTTTGGTGTCAAAATGATTTTGGATTTCAAATCTTCTTCTTCCGTGGAATCCATCAATAATATATCTGACTTGATTCCAAACTTATCTCCAACATATTCTGTTAATTGATGTATACTGAACTCCGCAAAAATGCAATTTTTGAATGGTTCTTCAAGTTGCATCTTTGAAATACTTCCAGTAATTTCATCCACGATAGTTTCTCTCAATTGTTCAGATATAATATCAATTGATTTAATTAATGTTATCAATTCTGTACTGCTGGTGAAATTTAATTCTGCAATGTTACAACATAGAAATACAATTGCGTTTCTTGTTGCAATATCAGTATTTGCATGATTAATACTACCAATATATGTATTCAGTGCCTTGATTAAATTCTTTATAAATCTCATTGACACTTTTTTCCCCGAACCGATTATATGCTGAAGACTAGATAGAAATTTACAATTATCAAATAAATCTTCGTTACCTAATGATTGTGAATATTCTATTGCAATTTTTATACCTTGTGAAACACTATTGAAAACCATCGTTTCATATTTCTCGAATAGGTCGTGCAATGACTTGGCTGCAATTTGACGAATATATTCTTCATTAGATCCAAACAATCCAATAATTGTAGGAATACAATGTGAAGGATTAACATAACCGAACTGAATCATTGACTTTAATAATCTAAACGCAACTAATGAATTTTTCACCTCTTTAGATAAACAAATTTTTAAAACATCTTTTAAAAATCTAGAAGCAAGAGCAGAACAGACACCTTCGCTTAAAGAATCAGATCCTTTCTCTATCAAAAACTTAGAACCAAACTTTAATTTTGAAGTTGATCTATTAACACCAATCTGTCTTAATGATTTTTTTTCTTCTTGAATGAAGAAATCATAAAAACTTTCAATTATGACTAACTTAATGTCTAAATGATCATCTTTGATTTCATTATCTAGTAAAGATAATATGTGTTTTGAATTAAACAATTTTGGATGACTGCTACATAATTTGGTTAAATTCTTAATCGCAACTCTCCGTACAATATGTGTAATTTTCTTATTCGATAGAACTAGCAAACATTTAGCTACATATTCATAAAGTGTTTCGTTGGCTTGCAAATAATTTATTCTTTCTGTAATATCTTTAGAGTTACAAAACCTAGCAAACCCTGTTGCCAAATATATCAACCTCTGTAATTTACTATCTGGAGTTATTTCTTCAGGACTCTTGTTTGCCTTATTAACAAAAGGAATAAAATGACCAAAACATGACGAGCATGCCTTTGCAACTCTTGAATAATCCTTACGTTTTTGAGCAATACTCCAAATTAATGGCATAGCTTCTTCTGTCTCTTTAACTGACATTTTTGGTAACTGACTTAATAATGCAGTTTCCAAATCAAATAAAAATTTGGGTTTGAAGTTATCTAACTTTCCAAGTGTATCTTTGAAAACACATAGAACATGAAATTGAAAGTCCGATTTGGTTTCATTAAATACATATGGGTATAAGGAAGTTATATGATCCTTAGTGATAAACGTCACTGTCGTATCTGAAAATTTTGATAGTAAATTCAAATAATTCTTTCTTCTTTTTACCAGTTCATCGTTATCAGAATCAATCAATTGAAGTTCTACAATTTCGTGTACCAGATGTTCAGTGAGAATATTCAAACTATCAATTATGTTTTGATATGCATTGGGTGAATGATCGGCCTTGTTAAGTAAATAAAAATTGAAGAACCATTCAAATAGCTCAGAACATTTAGTATTGAAAATAGAAACCTCTGATATTACTTGAAGAACTTCTTTACAAATTTCATTTTGTTTCTCGATTTCATGTTTCTTATTTGAAATATCTAATATCCATCTTTTTAGTAAAATCTGTCTAGACATGTCAATGATTGCATCTTCTTCATCCTCTATCTTTAATAACACCCTTGAAGCAACATAAATCTTGATTTTTATATCATCAGTAGTATCGTAAATGCTTTCATTAATTTTTAATACATGTTTTCTAACAAGTATACTTTCATCGTCATAGTTGTAATTAATTTGCCTATAAAATGTCAATGAAGCAGATCCAATACTAACTAAATCGAGAATTGCATCTTTGACAGATGCCGATGAGTCTGATAATCTGCCCACAATAGTTTCCTTCACTGCAGAACTTGAGAGGATTGATTGATCTCTTGAAGCAAGCATAGATAAACACTTTATTGCAGTTGATCTTAATTTAATCTTATCTCTTTCTAATAATGATACTACTAATTTCAGGTATAGATCATAGAAGTTCATTAGTTCAAAAGAATGCAGAATAGAATAGTAATCGCTTTTGGAAAACTCTTTTGAATATTCCTTGTTTTGAAATAAATGATTGTTTTTATCATTTAGTTCTTTTAGAACAACCTCTGGTATAATCGGATTTGTATCTTCATCCTTATTATCATTATCATTGTCTTGGCCGTATTCTTGAAGCCTTGTAAGTGTATGAATCATTTTATTCCAAAAATAATTTGTGCCAATATCTGTATTGGAATATAGCTTTGCTGTATCTAAGCAGTTATGGAAATGGGCAATGTATAATGGTAATAGCTCGGGATTATTAAAAATTCTAATCAAACTATTTTGATCTTCCTCTTTCGTTGAGCATTTGAGGTCAAAGATAGTATATCCAATATTTCCAAGTATTTGCAATGCAATGGTTTCAATTGTAGCTTGTTTCTGATTATTGGGACCAAACATAAGAAGCAGCTTTTTCATTAATGAACTGAGAAGATCTTCCGATATTGACCAACATGGAAATGGAAGAATTGATACTAAATCTTGAACATAATTGTCTAGAACATGACGATATCCTGGCGGGTTTTCATACAATTTTTCTAACAATGTATCATGAATGTGTTCGATATATGTCGAAATACTGATTGAACTTTCTTTATAAGATACCAAAGACTCCTTAAAAAATTGAGGAGACCACTCTTTATCAGTACGGTTGAAAGATTCCTGTTGTAAAGATTGTAACATTGTCATTATTAGAATTGTAAATTCATTTAAATATACACCAGCATATATCCTTTTTAGTTTCTTCTGAATTCTTTTAGATGGTAATTTATCGACATGTGATAAAATATCTTCAATAATGAATATTCTCTGATCAGGAACTGTTCTGAATAGGGCCACGAGTATATTTATGCTTGATAATTTAATATTTTCCCAATAATGTTGATACTTTATGTTTGCAACATCGAAGTTATCACACATAACCAACTCAGAAAATATATATGTTATTTTAGTTATGATTGATTCATCCAAGTAAGGATGTTGTACAATATAATCTGGTAAGTGAACAATTGCATCACTAAGAAGAGATAGCTCATCTAACGAAATTTGACCAGATTCATCATTACTATTTATATCAAATATACGGTCACCAATAAATTGCACAGGGACAAGGACATATTTTTCAATGTATAATCCATTTGTATTTTTATCTAGTTGGAAAATCAAAAATATTAATGTTGTTGTTTCGTATGCTAATTTCTTTAAGGTATCATATGGTAATGGTAATTCTTCTTCACCTTGTAACTGTTTCACAGTTTCTATATTGTCAATAAGCGACTCTATTATTCTTCTAAGATCATTAATTTCTAATTTGCTAGAAATATTTGATGAACCCAAAAAATTCTTAATGATTATATGCAATTTAGAAAGATATTTTTCATTTAATAAAAAAGTTTCACTTGATAGTTTTATCAAATACTCGTTATTTTCTGTATTTCCTTCAGAAGTTGAATTTAAGATATCAATCATCATTTTCAATTCTCTTATGTTCTGTTGTAAAATCTCTCCTTGATTTAATGAAATATTTGTTGAGATTTTAGCACGTTTTACCTCAGTTGAACCTTCAAAGATTGCTGAAATATCATCATCTACATCTAATTTATGTTTTAAACCATTTACTGACTTTACACTGAAGTTTTGAATTTGGTTGGTTGTTATAGATAAATTCTCTCTTTCAATTAAAGATTTTGCCAAAGGTGAAAGGTCATCAAAAAATTCCCTATTATTATTATTCATATCTTGCTTTGAATCGGAACGTATCTTAAGATGATCAGGTCTCCTAAATTGAATTTCTTCTATGTCATTGATTTTCGAAAAGCTATCTAAAATTGAGTCTCTATCAAGCTCTTCTTTGGCTTCAGCCGACAACGATTCATATGCATTATTACTAATTGGTAAAGAAATAGATATTTGGGAAGTAATGCATGATGATAATATTCCCTTAGGTACCAGATAATTCAACGGTTGAGAATGTAAAGACTCCAAAAGAGTCTTGGGTACATCAGAATCTTGTCCAGGATATCCAACCATTATATTATCCCTTTGCTTCTCTATTTTATTTTTATGTTAACACCAAGTTTTGAACTTTAAATACTATTCAAATCTTATCAAATTGAAACAATACAATTTCTGGACTTTAACAAAGGTAGAAACACGATCTCCAACCACTTCAAAAACTAACCCCAATATACCTTTGACCTTTTTATTCCAAATACAACTATCTAGAGAATCGTCACCACCCTCTATGTTTCGATTTTTGCCACTTTTATCTATTAGTTTATAGTTATATGTATCTTCTTTCTATTTGATTTAATCTTCAATTCCAAAATATACGCGCCGAAATTAAATAATATCAGATATATTTATATAAGAAGGCCAGAATTTAATTAAAGTGTTTTAAAGAATCAAATCAGACAGAAGCAACCTCTTTATGTGTTGCTAATAGGTTCAGATTGGTTGTGATTATTGATTTGAGATAGGTTGTAGGGATTTCTAAAGTTTGGTTGTCTCAGTTCTTCTTTTCAGGTAAAATTAAAGATACTAATGCGATTATGGGAAAAAGATGTCGATATCTTCAATGATTCCTATTTGTTATCGTAATTCTAATTATATTATTGTTAATAAACCTTTCAACGTATTGTCTCAACCTGGTTACATTGGAAGTTGGAAATGTGTTGGTTTGAGTTCTCCTGTTGTACCTGTATTATTGGATGATTTGATAAAGCAGAATGCTGGTAAAGATGAAAATGTTACAGAATGGAGGACAGTTCATAGATTAGATAAATTGGTTACTGGTGGTGTTCTCATAGCCACTAATAAGAATTCTGCGATTAAGTTTTCCAAAAATCTTAGATATGGAGGGAATAAAGGTTATAAATTTACTAGAAGGTATGTGGCCTTAGTTGAAAATAGTTTAAATGTTAACACAAGGAAAATTCCAGAGTTTGGTCAAATCAACTTTGATGGTATGATCTCAAATTACAAGCAATTTGATGAAAGCTGTTTTATATTTGATCTAGTCACTGGTGGGAAACACCAAATTCGTAAACATTTATCACTATGTTTAGGAAGACCTATATTAAATGACGTTAAATATAATGCCACACCTATTACTGAGATAGATAGGAATCAAATAGCATTACATTCAGCTTGTATTAAAACCAATATTGGATTGCAAAGTAGAGAACATTTGATTCCAATGATATTCAATAATGATGGCTTACTGTGGAAACGCAAGTACGTCAATGAAAGAGGAGAATTTTTAGAACAGATACAAGATATATTGCTAGAAGAATGGGATGAGGTTACTAATGACAGTGTAATCACAAGAAGTATTAATGAATCTTTATAATGTTAACTAGAATGCTGTATATTTATAGATTATTCGTGTATATAGGTTAATAACGAATCAACGATTTGGAAAATTAGAATTTTATTACAGTCTTTACTTGCTGTAATAATTGTGATGAAATTATCCACGTCAGTATGAGTTAATGCAAGTACATTGTCTAAATTGTTAATCCTTATCACTTGCCATAAATTTGAAATGCAAGTTTGTTTAAGTTGGTCATATTCTTCTCCAATTGGAATTTCCCTTGGTGGTCCCATTGTGCTGTCATTTGGGAATATCAACTCCCTTAATAATATAAAGATTTGAGAACACGCACTCTTGTTGATAATTTGTCTTATGAAAAGGTTGTGAATATGGTAATCTAATGCAAAATTCAGAAATGGAATACTTATTAGCCAGAATTGAAAATATTTTGCCATTGAATATAATATAGGTTTCTTGGCATCAACCTGTAGAATATCGATAAATATCAGTGACAATAAGTATCTATCAAGAAATGTTCTTGAAGGTGTATGTATGCGAGATATATTTGTCAAACTCTTAATAAAATTGATTACTTGTAATAGTTTCAATTTCCAATATGTTAAATTGAAGCGTATTAATAGCTGTTTTAATTTAAACCATTTGTTTGATTGAATATCCTTTTTGTTCAAGTATTTCTCACTAATCTTATTAATACCATGTAATATATAAAATGGTTCTGAGATATTATCTAGGACTCTCCCAAACAATAGATCATTGAATAAGGAGTTGAGGAAAGCATATTCCAACATTGAATCAGAGTTGGATAAATTGAGTAGATGTGAAGTAATTACCTCAGGATAGTAATTCTCACTATAATGAATAGATTCACAATAAGGTTTAAACAACCCATCCTCATTCTCTTGTTTCAATATCTCACTTATGTTTTTGATGTGGTGGGATAATAACAATGGGATATCATCAGTTATCAAGGATTCAAAATCGATCACAGAAGTATTAAAATAATCAATAACTTGTTTGGTTAAGTTGAACAATTCTACAGTAAATTGAACATCATGAGTGGGGATCTTTGAGCCATACCAACTCTTAATAAAATTCTTAATCAACAGGGATACGAATGCATGGATTTTTAGCTCTAAATGTGGATTTAAATCGATGATTTCACTAGCTATAGATGTTGGATAAATCGAAAGACATAATTCTCGTAAATATTCATCTGAATTCTTCTTCTCCTTACTGGCAAACTGATCCAATTGAGTAGCAATATCAGACTCTTCGATGGATGCCTCTTGAGTCCTCTGGGATAATGGTGAATTAGCACGACCTTGTTTTCTATAAATATTAGACTTTTGATACTTCTGAAGATAACTAGAACTAGTATTATACAGTATCGTAGACATCTGTTGCTATCATATTGTATTGTTACCTTCTGTTCTTATCATATTTAACCAAAACGCTAATTACCATAACTGTTAATGGGGCTATCTTATATAGATGATGCGAAATTGGCATATCAACTAAATGTAATTTAAGGAATTCGTAATGCAAAGTTGAAAGAACTATAAAAGTTACATGTATTTGTTCATAATATGTGAAACATAACTAACTTCATATGTAATTGATATATAACGATGTAGACACACATATATATTTTGATTTAGCACTTTTTGAATGTACGAGAATGATGTAAGTAAAGATTGGAATAGTATATGTACAAAACAAGTGTAAAAAGGAAATGAATTCGGTTAGAAGTGAAGATGAGTAATTTGTTTATCTCAATAATTCTTCCACAACTTTGTTAACTGTTTCATTATCGTTCATATCTAGATTTTTTAATCCCATTCTTCTGAAGACTTCGACTATTTTAGTCTTTTCGAAACCTTGAGCTACAAATTCTTGAACTACAGTTGGATCAATACCGTAGAGAGCAGCCTCATCCACGTTTGGATTGGCAACTTCTTCACCACCTTCAGCGTATAAAGTAGTCCACAGAGTAGCAGTCTTATTAAATGACTCTCTGTCTCGAAGGTAATGTTGAGCAACTTCAGCATCTTGTGGATCGTTTGGTTCTGGAGATTGTAATAAAGCTTGCAATGAAATCAGAGCCGATTTCAAAGTGATAACAGGGGACCAAGCATTTTTCAAAATATCCAAACAGATAGCACCAGTAACTGAAGAAATATTTGGATGATAAACTTTTGTATCAAACTTCATCTTTGGTGGTTTAAATGGATATTCCATAGGTACTTCGATATCGACGATAAATCTACCACCTTGATAAGGAGTTTCTGGAGGACCCAAAAATGAACCCTTTAAATGATGGATATCTGATTCACTAACAAATTCAAGATTAATGTTAGCAGCAGGATCATCCTTAACAGCTTGCATTTCTTTCATAATTCTCTTGGCCCTAGACATTATGGAATAATTGTATTATAGTAAAATTTAGTATAGTGTATTTCTCGAGTGGAAATAAAAATATTAAATAATAGTAAATGAATAATTATAGTTCCTCTACACTTATAAGTCCTATAACTTTCGAATAAAAGGGAATATGAATACCTTATAATAATAATTCAAAACTTCTGTAATGTTACCAAAAATTAAACTCGTTTCGTAGGTCTTTGAAAACAATATAGCAACTACTTCAAGCAGAATACAAACCAAAATTTAACAAAACTGAATATAATTAGATACCATACAATCAAAGATCAACTTCGTAATGAATATCTTATTTATATAAATAGTTCTGTTTTAATAATAGGTTTAATTTTAATTTATTGAAAGGCTTCTTCTTCTTACTTCAAGGGACGTTTTTGATGATGCCCGAAAGGAACAAGAACAAGGCTTAACATCTAATGGGCCATACAAGCCTGACTTCGAATGAAGAGTTCAGAGCTGGTGATTGGTATTGGTTATTTAATGTTATGGGGGAGTAGGTTGGTGAGTTTGGAACATGAATTAGATTGTGGTTTATATGTAAATATATATTGTTTATGTAGAATTAAATGTGACTGTTTAGAGTTTGATTTTTTAGTAATTGCAGATAGATCTTGGTAGAGGTGAATTTCTATTTCTGAACGGTGACAGGTATGGTAGGTAACGATTATGTTTCTGTTAATTCATCGTCTTTATTTGTATTTGTTTGTCCAAATACGTCTGCGTCTTCGTCTTCATCTTCTGGTTGATCTATATCCCTGAAAATACTTTCCTTTGGTATTCTTTTCATTCCTTCAGGTTTGTCGAACAATGGGCCTATTTTATTTATCCACCTTTGTCTTTTATCTAATAATGCTTTTAAGCTTGAATTTGCAGCTTTTTGTTGTGCTACTTGTGATGCGGAACCTACGTTGGATGATAATGACCCATGATGATGTTTCTTCTTCTTTTTCGGTACTCTAATACGTTTGATGTATGCTTGATCGATTTGTTTGTCCAAGTCGTCAAGTATTGACATATATTCTTGCCATGCTAAATATCTTTCTAATAGTGGCCCGATTATGTGCTTCCTTTTATCATTCTTTTTAGTTACAATTTTTAAAGAATTTTGTAATTCTCTTAATTCTGCACTAATTTCATCGTCTTCTCGACCAGTTAACCAATCCGGATCGTCTCCATTAGGGTTATTTTCATCTTTTGGTAGATTAATATATATACCCACATATTTAAGTTCTCTTTTCAATCTTTCTTCAAATGTAGGATAATCTAGACTGACATCATTCGCTTTCCATCCACTTTGGATCGGAAGCACACCTTCCGGTACTCGACTTAACGATTTCTTAAGCTCTTCCATTTCTTCTGTTACTGCACTATCAAGTACTGATCCAGGCGTCTCATCCTTTTGTTGTGGCTCTACAGTTGGAATTTCTTCCATCAATCCATCCATCTTAGATTGGCCAGGGGTGCTAGCCGCTGTATTACCTTCAATTTTAATATTTACTTCTGTATTATTGCTAGCTTCTTGCTGTATATCATCCATTTCGGTTTCACCTTTAAACACAGCAGAAAGTAATCTTGATAATAATGGACCACATGAAACTTCTTCTGTTTCTAGGGCTCCATCTGTAATAAATGAGCCACTTTTTCTTGGCAATATCACAGAAGGGTCGCTCAGTGATGGAGGAGAGGTGCCGCCAATGTTCTGATTATCATCTTCTTTCAACCAAACATGTGAGTACAATGGGCCCAGTTTAGGAATTACGTATGGTGTCACATCAGGATCGTAAGTTTTGTCAGCTTGTAGATCTGGTGGCATAATGTTCTTTGCCTTCATAAATTTAACATCTTCATCTGAGTATTCCTTAAAGTAGTTATCAACTGATGACAAGAATGTAGAAAATTGTATTTGATTAGTTGGTTTAGGACACGAGAAGTCCATGTCTGGAAGAACCCCAGGTAGTAACTCTTTAAGATCATCTGTAGGATAACTTGCAACACTGTATTTCAATTTTAAAAAATCTTCACCAGTACTTTCCAAACCTTCTTCATTAAACAAGCCTAATCTGGCAGCAGCAGCAGGTAAAGTTTGTGAAACTACAAATTCAGATTTTGGATTTTTCACAGAGGGATCATTTTCCATTCTATATACATCAATGTCTCCCTTGTTTTTTTCATCTTCCTCTTCCTTTGGTTTTTCATCTTCTTCAATATT